AGTGGCCATGTCCACTATTATGTCCGATAAGCAACACGGGTCTGAAAAGGCATCACAAGAAATAATTAGAAGATGACAGACTGCCAACTCCAATTTTTACTATATAAATGTTGTGCCCTAAAAATACAGTTTACTTGTCACACTAAACATGTTCCTCTGTGTGTATCAGAAAAGTCAGGATTCTGGGAATTTTATTTTATATTCATACCTTTGAATAATTTATGATAGTATTAAGTGACACATCTCAGCTAACAAGCAATGATGGAAGAAAACAGTATTTCTCTGTGTTCTAATTTCCACTCTTATTTAAGGTAATTCCAGGCGTACAGGAAGCCAAGTCCTCTGGGGTAAGGATTTTTGTTATGTGTTGTGGCCACTCAGTTGTTCTAACAGAGGCCCAACATCATTATTCTGTGTTTGCACTGGATACTACTCTTGAATGCTTTAACTATCATTTCAACTACTGAGAAAAATTTGTGAAGCTGCTCATCATTCCCACCCTTCCCAAAATCTGAAGCATACAGTCAGACTGCAGCAGATTAAAGACACCTAAATCCCAGTAAATCCAGCCTCTCGTAACAGAAAAGCCTGCTCCCAACACGACGCAGCTCCATTGCGGTGAAGAGCTCATCTAAGCAGCCCCATAGTAAGGAGATCATCGCATGCACGAGTAGTATCTTACCTAAACTTGCATGCTTACACTTGCTAACACAGAAGAACAGCTTTCCGGGTGCCAGACTGTCAGCAAACCTATCAGTCCGGAGAACAAGTGTATTAACACTATAATTTATATTGCAGCCTTGCCTACAAGCCCGAGGCTACACCGCAGAAGACGTGGTACAAGTGTCACGAGAAATAATTGATCAGCTTTATTCTAAAAGCTTCTAATCTGAGATGCTGAGTGCTTCATTCTCACCTTAAGGTCTGCAACGACAATGCTTTCAAATTTTAAGGGGAAAAACACTGGCCTAAAAGCTAGTTGAAAGCTGGAGAGATCCAAGTAGTCCACTTTATCACTAGCAAACACTTCCTCTGCCACGTACAAAGTCAAAATCTGAGGAACCCCGGAAACAGGGTCAATTCAAATATGCTGAAAGCAAAACAAACAAACAAACAAACAAACAAACAAAACCAAACCAAAACCACCCAAACAGCACTACCAAGAATCACATTACACTGCATGGAGTTTTTCATCCACTTGATGATCAATGAATAAGATTTGGACTGGAGCCTGCAACGCGTGCTCGCAGCCCAGAAGCCAACCGTGTCCTGGGCTGCACCCAAAGCCGCGTGGCCAGCAGGGCATGGGGGGGATTCTGCCCCTCTGCCCCGCTCTGGGGAGACCCCCCTGCAGGGCTGCGTCCAGCTCTGGAGCCCTCGGCACAGGAGAGACACGGACCTGCTGGAGCGGGGCCAGAGGAGGCCCCAGCAACGCTCCGAGGGCTGGAACAGCTCTGCTGGGAGGACAGGCTGGGAGAGCTGGGGGGGCTCAGTCTGGAGCAGAGAAGGCTCCGGGGAGACCTTCCTGCAGCTGCCAGGGCTGAGAGGGGCTGAGGAGAAAGATGGGGACAGACTTTTTAGCAGGGCCTGTGGCAATAGGACAAGAGGTAATGGCTTTAAACTAAAAGAGGGCAGATTGAGACTAGATAGAAGGAAGAAATTTTTCACCATGAGGGTGGTGAGACACTGGCCCAGGCTGCCCAGAGAGGTGGTGGATGCCCCATCCCTGGGAACATCCCAGGTCAGGCTGGACGGGGCTCTGAGCAACCTGGTTGAGTTGAAGATGTCACTGCTCATGGCAGGGAGTTTGGACTAGATGGTCTTGAAAGGTCCCTTCCAACCCAAAGGTTCTATGATTCTATGAATAAACCTCCTTAGCTTTTTTTCATATCCCCCCCCCAGTTTCCAGATTTGATGCATGTGAATGAGGTTTGACTTCTCTTTCTTATGACATTGTTGGACATCAGTTTGGATCACACTTCTTCACACTGCTGAAATCTAATACAGCAACATCAACAGCTGGCACCAATATCAAAGATCAAATTCCACAGTTAGGAGAGTCATCTTGACCTAAAAATGGTGCATGTCATGGCCATCATGTATCAACTAGTAATCTCAAAATCATAACCAGTAAACCATCTCTTTAGATGTTCTCATCAATGCCTGATCTTCTCCATTCGCTTGGGGAATGGAGGTAGAAGAAACCGCTACCATTAGCTGACTCTCAAGTCAAGCACTACAACCAAGCAGGAGGAGACTGCACTGGCCCCTTGCTCTCGGGTTTAACAGCAAATAGTTAGCGATACTGACATCTGTTTTCAGTAAGCAAGGACTCTTTACAGGCAGCCGTTTTCAAAGCACATCCCAAACAGCGCTGCTTAGTTCATTTTCAGGTGTCATTTAATCTGCTGGTCTCCAGTAGAAAAAAACCCTAACGAGCAAAACCCGTCTGGACTGGACTCCGCCATTGTTTCTGTGCTTGCGCTGGCTGTGGAGCTGAATTGCTGTGGACAGACCACCTCCAGCTCTCCTTGCCCGGCATGAAGATGAATCCTATTAGAAGGGCTTTTTCTAGCTGTTCTGACAGCACTGAGGCGTTCACAGCCTGCAACAATAATATAAAGATTATTCCTTAGTTCGGTTTTCCTCTAGGACAGTCCACTGCTACTAGATTTGAAGCAGACATCTGCTAAAAGAAATCCTGAATTGTGTAGACCAGACCAGCTGATGCTTTCTAAAGCTAGAAAATTAGGAAAAGCCTCTCATGAGCCAAATTTTTTTTTACCGTTGTTGACACTTTGTTCAGAGAGAAAAATATAAAGTGGAGAGTTTCCAGGCAGAAGGAACAAGACTATTAACTACTACTGGCATGAGGAAAGAAGATACAGAATAAATGTAAAACCTCACATTTGTTCTTCAGTCTGGAAATTTATTTCACTGAAATCTCACATTCTTAAGATCAGTTGGATCTTCACTGACATAGTTTGCTACTATGCTCTGCATCCCTTTCGGCTTTTTTATTGTTTGTTTTTTTTAAAGTCTTACATAACAATTTTCTCATGCTCATTTTTCCAACTCAAAATATGAGGCAGATTTCATCACAACAATATCTTAAGCTTTCAGCTATTCAACATTTCCTATCTTTTCCACTTTATAAACTATGAAGACAGGATCTCTTCTCCACAGGTCACACGTGCTAGCATTTGGAACATCTGAAGTTGGATACTCCCTATGAGCCTTTTTTCATCATTAAGTTTTTGAAAAAACTTCTAACACACCGTGTCTTTATACTTGTCATCACTTTTTACCTTTATGACTTGTCTATACTCTCTGGATGTAAGAGGGAAGCAACCAGTCACATGACAACAGGGATAAGCCACATTCCTGCAGGCAGATCAAACACCTTTCTCCTGAAGCCACTAACAAGTACTACTTGTTGAGATTTATGCTATAGCCAGAGGGCCACTCTTGTCAGTCATTAAAAAAATAAAACCTTAACTAAT